TGTGATTGACATCCTGGGAGGGGACTTTGACCCTGAAGCCTTTGCCAGTGCCATGTTTTTCATGTGCCTCTTCTCCTTTGGGAGGTAGGTGATGGGCACTTGGGTCTGTTTACTAGCCCCGATCTTCCTGTTGTCCTTTGCTGCTCTTGAGTTGGCCCCTGACTCATGGTGACCTCACAGGGTGACCCATGCACAATGGGTGGCCATCAGCCCAGCGGGAGTCCTCGGGTTCTCACTGGCTGATTTTTGGAAGTAGCTTGCTGAGTCTTGCTTCCTAGTCTTCCTTCGTCTACAAACCCCCCTGAAACCTGTTCAGCACCATAGCAACATGGAGGCGTCCCCAGACAGGCAGCTGGTAGTTGTTGTAAGGTGCCTTGAGTGGGAATTAAACTATGGTCTCCTGCATAGAAGGTGAGAATTCTATTACTGAGTTAATCAAATTTAAAATTTCAGTTTTATTGTCCAAAATTGGTTGAGAAAAGGCAGGGATGCGTGAGATGGGGACGGTGTGAGTGGGCTCAGCAGAGTGGGAGAGCAGGTAGCTCCACGGATGCAGTTCCCGTGACAAAGCATCTGGGACTAGGGAGAGGACTGCCAGGACAGGGGAGGAGAGACGTCTGGGCAAAGTGGAAGCTGTGACATAATACTGAGGCCCGGCGAAAAGCAAGCCCCGGGCCATTTGCCCCCTTGTCATTTCTGTTACCTTCTGCTCCTTTGTAAACGTCCGTGCGTTTGAATGTGCTGTGATTTTGTTCTCATATCTAGCTCACCGTGTCTCCTTTCTTCCTCTGTTTATTCCTGTCCTTCACGCTTGCTCTCCATGTCTTCTCTTTGCCTCTCTTGGTCTACTTTCCCCAACTTTGCATTTCGTTGCATTGTGGACTTTCTCCGCACTTCTCACCCATCCCTTCCCTCTCTGCATCTCTCTCCCCCCTTCATCCTTCCGCTTTCTCCCATGTCCCCAGCTCACTGTCTGCAGGCTGCCGCGGGGGCTCCTTCATGGTGACCATGTCCAGAATCAACTTGCGCATCCGGGACCTGCTCTTTGCCTCCCTGCTTCGCCAAGACCTCGGCTTCTTCCAGGAGACTAAGACAGGTGGGGCCTGGACCCCAAGGCTGGGATCCCTGGGATACTCCCTGCCCCTCAGTGGGCTGCTCCCAGCAGCCTCACCTGCTGCCTTCAGACTTGATGCCAAGGCCGGGAGAGAGGCGTGAGGCAGCTTCCCTCCGTCTCTGTAGGTCAGGGCGGGCTGACAAGAGGAGACCGGGTTAGAGGAGCGGTGGGATGGAATTCCTGGGGGCGTTGTCCTACACTTGGTTTTCTCACTGCTTTCTCTTCCCCAGGCGAGCTGGATTCCAGGCTGAGCTCAGATACCACGTTCATGAGTCGCTGGCTTCCTTTGAATGCCAA